GTAAGTCCTATGAGGAGCAGCTGAGGGAGCTGCAGTTGTTTAGCCTGGAGAAAAGGAGGCTCAGAGGAGACCTTATCACTCTCTACAACTACCAGAAAGGAGGTTGTTGCAAGGTGGGGGTTGGGGTCGGCCCCTTCTCCCAGGCAACTAGCGACCGGACAAGAGGGCAGGTTCAGGTTGGACATCAGGAGGAATTTTGACACTGAAAGGGTGGTCAGGCATTGGAACGAGCTGCCCAGGGAGGTGGTGGAGTCACCATCCCTTGAGGCGTTCAACAACTGGATGTGGCACTTAGTGCCATGGTCTACTTGACAAGATGGTGATCAGTCAAAGGTTACACTCAATCTCAGAGGTCTTTTTCAACCTAAATGATCCCATGAAATAGCCCAAATGGGACCAAATCAGAGCCTTGAAGGGAAAGTTGCTGCAAGGGAAGTTTAATTTAGATATTAGGAAAACTTTTTTTTTTGAAAGGGTGGTCAGGCATTGGAACAAGCTGCCCAGGAAAGTGGTGGAATCACCATCCCTGGAAGTATTCAAAAAACAATGTGTGGATATGGCACCTGAGGACATGGTTTAGTGGCAAACATGGTGGTGGTGCTGGGTTGATGGTTGAACTTGATGATCTTAGGAAGTCTTTTCCAACTTTAATGATTCTGTGTAAAAGAATGTCTCTTACACATCAAAAAAGAGCTCTAGTTCTAACTTGCTTTCCATATTACCTTTACAAGAGAATCTCTGGCTATTGGAACATTTGCAGAAATCCCTGCCTCCCCCGGAATCTTCTGAGCAGCATGAGTAACTGTATTGAGTGTCAAAGTTTTAAGATTCCACTGCAAACTACTTTGTTAAAAAAAAAACAACCCAAAAGTTCCTGTATTTGAAGGCATCCCTATTACTGTTATGCTGCTATACCAAACTGACTAGATCAACATTGGAAACCAGTAAACTGAAGCCACACACCAATCATTTTCTTTCCTCTATTAAAAACAAAACCAAACCACCAAGAAACTCCATCACCATAAGAAATGCCTTCTTCAATCAGGCAGAAACTGAAACTAGGCAATAAATACAGGAAGCAGCAGCTGCAATTATTGCAAGCAAATGGAAGACAGATGAAGTTATCCAGCTACTAGAAATTTTCTTTTTCATTTGCTACTCATCTTTACTACTGAAAATAATATAACAATCAACAGTTTCCTGTATAAATTCATTCTTCATTGTAAATTGTATTTTTAAAATTATTTAACAAGTTAGAATTCACTGCAAACAGATTATTCTAGTGTCTCCTAGTTTTCATTTTAAGTGCTAGCACATGAGGCTAATACCAAGTGTTACTATTACACTATCATTCCTCTAAATGATACTTTGATTCCTCTCCTACGCTTAAGAGTTGAGCAGACCTGAAAGAAGGTTACCTCTAAGGTAAACTGTATGTGTATAAATAAAACCCCACAAATCAGAAAACACCACACCCTCCATTGTATATATTCTAGGCAAAGTGATCAGAGAGACTCATTCAAGATTTTATCACTGCAAAACCCATTAACATTAGGCAAAACTAATACAAGACTTCATGCCAATGACCTATGCAACTTCAACAGCTAGTATAGAACAAAAGTCTTAAGATTAAAAAACAAGTACACACAGCTTTGGTTCACCTTCCCAAACTCATAGCTAAATTTTACAAACAGCTGTTTTATGATTTGCTTACAAAACAAAAATCCTTACATTTTGCCTTCATGTGGATCTTCTTCTCTTCCCTAGTAGGAAAATTAACATATTAAGTGCGTGACGACAGTATGCTTGAGTTTAGAAAAGCAAACTTCATAGGTTAAGACCTTCTGTAGAAATAAACAGCACTAAGAAGTCAAAGACATTTTTGAACTAGATAGCTTATTGCACAGTTCATATAAAGAGGTTTTCAACTTCATTAACTAAATGGAAATTCAGCCATAACACATTATTTCAAAAGACTGTTTCTGTCACTCTTCAAGACCTCCTTTACATGTGGTAACTTAAATCTCAACTTTCCTGAACTTCAACCACTAACAGAAAATTTATAGTTAGATACTCTAACATTACCATTTCAATTTAGCCATTCACATCCTGATATAGATGTGAGAAACAGGTAAAGCAAACTCTGCTAATAGCAATATCTATATGCTGCAAAGCAAACATCATCAGGACTCCAAAGCAATGGTGAACTTCTTTTAAAAAAGCATGTGGGAAGATGGGGTGGGTGTTTTTGTCCATTAAATCATCTCTTGTCCTGCAATAAATCAATCATTTTTATGTCATCTAATTAGCTTCCTGACTTAGCATAAACCCTTCTAGGTATAATTAACTCATCAATATTTTTTTTTAATCTACACCCTTAAACAAAAAAAGAAAACAATGACATACTGCAAAGTTTCAGTCTATACATTTATGAATATTTCATAGCAAACAAAAAAACCAACGAATGCAACTGAACAACTAGCAAGTTATTTATCAGGACTGGTGAGTTTAGGGAACTGCTTAAGTTCACAATATTGTTCATTTGCACACAAACTTGTTTGGATAACATGAATATGTACTTTGTTTGGATATTGAATTAGACTTAACGGTTTGTTAAACTATTTAAAAACTGGAAGATTCAAATACTGCAGGAAGGTACATAAAGTCAGGCAGCTAATGCCACTAGTTTGGTTTAATTTCATTGTTAATTTCCACACACAACTAATAATAAAAAAAAATCCAATCTCAGTTCTGCAACAGATTTGAATATAAAATTACTTACCACTTCCTCTACCAGGTCTTCTACTATAAGACCTTGTTCATCTGTCCGTAGGTTTGTAACCCACATCCAGCCATCTTCCAATTCATTATGAACAATAAACATATCACCTTTAAGGAAACTGAAGAGAGTTACATTAAGATATATGTTAGAAGTACAATCATAATATAACATTTAATGAACACAGTGAATTCTTGAGCATAGTTTAAGCAAAACATTTGAGAACATCTGATCATGAAAGATAAATTTATTGGTATCCCAGGCACAACATGTGCATTTTTCACACAGTTTAAGTAGCTATGAATATTACATGAATATTTATCCTTCTTTAATTTACAATCTAATAGATACTTTAAAGTATGCTAAGGATGTATAAAACAAAAAACACCACAACATTCTTTTATCAAGAGGGATCAAATACCAAACACAAGTAAAAACAATCAAAGATTTCCCTAATAGTCTAAGAAAATAATATTTCTATCAAAACCTAATTTTTTATAATAAAGTCTATGGAATATCTACTATTTAGGTCTTTGGATATGAATATAAGTGCTAAAAAGAAGATAGAGAATAGTTCCTCGAGAAAGTTATGCAAATAGCTACAATAAGAGTATAAATACAAAGCATTAAAACATTCAAGGGAGTTTCATTACTGGAAGGTTAGTATAATTATCCCACAGGTATACTGGTTTTCACTGGAATAGGAGTTAAATTTCTTCATAGTACCTTCTATGGGGGGCAGACAGTGTGCTTGGGAACTAGCTGGGCATCAGTCTGTTGGTGGTGTGCAATTGTTTTCATCACTTGTCTTTCTTGGGGTTTATTTTCCTCTCTCTTTGTCGGTTGGTGGGTGTTTTGTTTCTCCCTTACAATTTATTTTTTAAATTTCTTTTCAATGATTAAAACTATCTTTATCTCAACCCACAAGTGTCTCAGTTTTCCCCTTCCAATCCTTCCCCCATCCCACCAGAAGGGAGGGAGCAAGAGGCTATGTGGTGTTTAGCCACCATCTGGGCTTAAACCACAAAAGTCCTTTTTGGCACCCAACATGGGTTTAAGATAATAACAGATTTTACCAGAAGGTAACAGAAGGAACTTATATCTGTTAACAGTTGCTGATCACAATATTGATCTATCTGTTCTCAATGTTAGTTTATCTGATCTGTGCTCTGCTCCTTTTTTTACTGTACATGGTTAAAGACTGGTTTTGGCTTTTGCAGTTTTCTGTGCTCTCTAGTGCTTAGTGGTGTTGTGCCTGGGACATTTATTATTAAAACACTGGCCTTGAGTTTAATCTGCTATTTGGGCTCTGTACTGAAGCCATTACTGTAGTTCAGGAATCACCTCATGGAAACAATTGAAAATTAACAATTACACTTTCTCCAAGAGGTATTTTGTAGAGATAATACAGAATGGCACCTTCACCACCTCCTTCCATGATGTTTTCTCCCTCATTATAACAACTCTTCAGTAACTTAAACATCCTTGAGTAATAAAAATACTCCTATTGGTATTTATTAGGAATATTGTTTTGGTTTTTTCCAAGGTTAACAAGCAATTTAGGAATATCACCCAGGCCCTGCAGCAGTGTGGTTATGGGTGGCAAGGCATGTAGGAAAATACAGGCAGGTATCTAGAAAGGTTGTTACCTCCAATGCTCTGGGACTTCACACCCAGATCCTAGTGAAATGATAGAATGTTTAAAAAAAGATGCCCTGGCTATTCCAGAGGCACAACTATGCTGGGGCCTGGCCTGCAACTACCAAACCCTGCTTAGTACTGTGTAGCACCCTCAAGAGAGGGTCTTCTGGATCTGAAAACATACCAATAGACACCATGGCTAAATCAGAGACTCAGCCTTCAACTATATCAGTCACCTCTATAATGAAAAAACAATGGAAACAGAAGTCAACTCATTCAGTAAGGGATGAAGAAGCTTCTCCTAAGAAGGAACAGCAGAGCAGTCACAAGAATAGGAGGGGAAAGAATGAAATAATAAATGAGACAGAAACCACATGATCCTTATCCCTAAGCAAGCAGTGAGATATGTGAAGCTGTTGAACAGGTGAATTATCAGGTGGTTACTCCAATGCTGGGATACTGGAGACAACAGTCAAGAATTAGAGGGTAAGGAAGCCCAGCAGCTAGGACCCCTTGCTAGGAATAAGGTCACTGACAAAGAGATTGTAGAAGGGGCAGGAATCCTCAGGCTTTGGAGGCAGCTTCTGTCAAGTGTGAAGGACAAATATCCCTTCAAAGAAGAACCTGCAAATTCCCAAAGCAAGTGAATGACCACTGAGGGAGGTATCCAGTATCTGAGGAAATTAGCCGTGGTGGTGGTGATCTATAGCAACCTGGATGACAACCAGGTATCCAAACAGCCAGGTGAAATTATGTGCACATGGTCCATGTGGCGAAAGTTTGTACAAAGTGCACCGACATCATACACCAACACACTGGCAATAATGAGCTGGAGAAACACAGAAGCATCAGCTGTGATTGGATTGGCCAGCCAACTTGAGAATTAAAAAAAATAATCTCACTTCCTCCCTACAGGCCTGCATCTTGGCTGTGAAGAAACCATCCCAACAATTATCCCAGCAATTAAAGAAGGACAGGTTTTCCTCACCCTTACTAACCAACATCTTGGCTATTAAGAGTCAGCCTTTTTGTGTTCAGGGGAGAGGGTTACCAGTTACACACACCACATGCCACCCCGTGGTTCTATCCGTGTGACCAGGAGGAGGACATGAGGAAGTGGGATGGTGAACCTACCCGGAGACTAGAAGCTCAAGTACAAGAACTTCAAGAAAAAACTGCAGCCAAAAGGCATCCATCCAGGAAAACTACTGCCACAGTATCTGTTGGTGCTTAGTTGTTGGCCAGGGTTAAACCATGACATCAGGTCATATGAAAACCTTTCATTGGAGCACAGGGGGACTTCTCAGTCAAGTCAAATGATGTATCAGGGATGCAGGCAATAGCTACACGGTACAGAACTACTAGTTCATCAACTATGGAGCTAAATCAAATTGGCATCCGGTCACTAGTGGTGTTCCCCAGGGCTCAGTATTGGGGCCAGTCCTATTTAATATCTTTATTGATGATCTGGACATGAGAATTGAGTGCACCCACAGTAAATTTGGAGATGACATGAAGTTGAGTGGAAGTGCTGATTTGCCTGAGGGTAGAAAGGCTCTACAGAGACACTGGACCAACTTCATCAGTGGGCTGAGGACAACTGCATGAGGATCAATAAGGCTCAGTGCTGGTCCTGCTCTTGGGACACAACAGCCCCAAGCAGCTCCAGGCTGGGGAGGAGGGG